GATTAACCGTTAATTATGTTATTAAGAATATCCATATTGTGTTGAAATATAAGCAAAAGGAGATCATATGTAACTTTAAAACTGATTCAGAGTAGATTCGTATCAAAATATTAACCTAAGCCACTGAACATTAAATCTGAGTCACCACATTTAATCACAAGAATTGGATTAAAAGAAGTGATAACGTGTCGATAATTCTGAAAAAACTTTATCACCATAGGTACAAACACCATAAGTGCTCTACAACGACTACTCTAAAACATGGATAACCTTTTTCTGCGTTGTTATAATGAATTGATCCCTTTTACCGAAGAGATCGTAGTCACACGAACCCGGCCAGAATGGCAGGTGTTCTACTACCTCTCACTGTGATTGTCGCAGGAAATCCGTGACTGCGGTCGCGGCAACGAGCATTGTCAAGCAGGAGGGTGCGATTCGTTATCAACAACTTGACTTGATCATAAGCTGAATGGAGTAACGGGAATGAAGCTCCCTTTGCTCCCTATGTGTTACAAAGTATGTTTTAAAAATTCATCAGTTGAATAGCAAGAGTGAATTTAAGGGAAACAGAAAAGCAAATGAGAAAATTCTCTAAGGAGTCTGATTTAAAATTTGTGATATTCAAGCAGAGGCAATGTCAGAGAAAAAACTCGAAACGGATTAGAAATATGGACCCGAAGTATGCAAAAGCAGAAGAGGTGGAAAAGAGAATTAAATAACCAGAGTGTTAGCAGGATAAACGTATTTTTCCAGTGGAAAGGGACTGTGTCCTCGCTCTCTCCGAAAGTATAGAATCAGATGATATCTTAGACGACGAATCCCATCACTCTCCATAACAACATGTAGCGTCGTAATGCGAGTGTTGTTACTGATCTCCTGCAACAATGGCAATGGTAAATACTGGAATTTCAGCCATACTTATCCGATATGAGTCCATGTGACTACGCCAGAATTGAAGAAACAGCTGTGAAGGATCTGTTACAGCATTACGATAAATTCATTAAAACAGAAAGGAAGTTCCTGTACTTTAGGACAGTCATTATGAAATATCAAGCGAAATGGACGTGCTAATGGCATACTGCGAATTCCAGTAACTTGGCAGAAAGTGGTATACATGGCAGGCTATTATACTAAGGGATTTGTAACTGTTTGTAACCGTGGTAATAAAGTGTTTTCGGAACTATCGACGGGTTGCTATTACTTTGTATCCAATCCTTGTGCTTCTGTGATTAGGAGATACATGCATCACTGTTCGGATAGTTTAGAACAGTGTTTCCTAAACTTTTATCCTCGAAACCCACATACATATAGCTGTGAATTATCGGGACTGCGCTACACACAATTGCCTGAAAAAATAAGCGTCACAGTTCAGGACTACAAGCTCAGTGGTGCGTATACCTTCATCATCCGTATCATGCCTTTCTGTATCTTAAACACTGTTTTGCAATTTGATCCAAAACATAACTTTAAATATTTGAGTCAGTGCAACGCTTTATATTAACTTATGCTCACTGCGGCCGTGGGCACGCACACAACTTATGAATTGATTTAAAATATATGATGATCGCATTCATAAGGCAGAATATGAAGAAAAAACTGATATTTCATCCGTAAGCTCAAAATCTAAATTTTAAACAAATTTTCTTTCCTTTTCTCATTAATTAGAATTGTCATATAGAAAACATATATTTTAAAGTATATATACTTTATACTATATCGTGTGAAAAAATTGCGGAGTATTAAATTTATGGCTAGGGGATGACTGGTACCTACGTTCATTAATAAATTATAACAATTAAAATATGAGTTGTGCTAATAGAGTTCTCAGGGAATTAATAAACTATTAAAAAAGAAGCATTGATCATTCCAATAAATTAATAAAACAACTAGCAAGTATATCTTAAGTGCACTTCAAGAAATCATCAGTGTAGAAATTCATCAGAGAGCTATTATCACTTATAAGTTGAAAGAATTATAAAATAGGCTTTCCGAAACAGGAAATTTACATCTATTTATGGGCTATTACAGGGCTTTTTTTTAACGCGTTATTTTATAAAATCCTTTCTATTGTAAACATTCTTACTGCTCTTTCTGTTAAAACTACAGTATTACAAATTTCATTAGGTGGTTCCCAATTTAATCGTTTAAGAAAAGTGCATTTTGTTAAGTCATAGATGCATGCTATTTTCTTTACGTGATTTAAACTGAAGTGTTTAATTTCATCAAAATACGTTCAAAGCAGCATTATTGTCAAAACTGATATGCACAGTTCTGGCCCATTCCGTATGAAATCGAGATTCACCATGGTTTATTCAAAATGGAACCGCCCGGATTTATTCGGTTAACGTATATTATTTTATTTGGTTAAAATATTCAAGTACCTGTTTTGAAGAATCAACACTTCAGGAGTTTTTTTTTTCTCTAGAGTTCATATAACGTCATTTTATCAAAACTCAAAGCAATGCATATTTATGTAATTAACCTAGTCTTGGAAAGGTATGCATAAACACATTAAAAAGTATATAATATCAAATTCACGGTGCAATATATTTGAAATTCACATGAAATATTCATCAATAATTTTAATTACTCATATTAATCGATCTTTACCGTTAACTTTAACTTAACTTTATGTGTCGAATGAAAGCTATTTTTCGAAACGGAGGGGAATTATTTGAGATGAACTTTGTATTGAAATAATGTTTATATCTAAAATTTAAACGCCAAAAACAAGTTTTATAACATAGAGTATTTTTATTTCTTTATCTTTATATTTGATTTATTTATCTTTATATATGATTTATTTATTTTAAAAAACTGCTAATCATTATAAATTTTGATGGAGAATATATTTTTGGCTTTCCTCCCATCTCAAAGATAATGCTGCAATGTAACGGATAAGCCTCAGTAGGCATGAATACGTATGAATACTTGTTACCTGTGCATGTTAACTCATTAACACTTATATTAATTATTAACTTACAAAATGATATTTATGGAGAAACTTATAAAATTGCATATATATACCAGCATTAAATTTCCGACTAAGAATTTTTTATTAAGTTAAAAGAGTTCGACAAATGCATGGTAACTTTATTATGAAATGGACAATTAAATCAGCTTTAAAGTACAGTTTAAAAAAAATAGAAGCGATCATAGTGATAATGCACAATTCTGCAATAAAAATTACGCAAAAAATTAAGCAGCGCAGATATTAAAGCTGTTTTGAAACAGTGAGAAAAGCAATGATTCATAGATTTGAAAATGGAATGGGATATTTGAAACTGAAGTCATTTTCTTTATTTTAATTAAAGTAAATGCAACAAGAATAATGATTTTTCAATAAAGAACTGTTAAGTAAGAAAAACATAATACCTATTCAGTAAGACACAAAATAAACAAACAGCAGTCCATTAGAAAAATGCTAGAAATAACATTTAGAGCCAAATTTGCAATGGATTAAGCGGAAAATGCATACAGCTCGGACCAAGTACCAAGGTGTTTAGTTTACGAAGTATCTTTATAATATAATTACAAATACCTCCGTCATCCTCGCAAAAATGTAATAACTAAGACGGAACGTTCGCTAAAGAAAGAGGAGAACAACACCGTTACCGGTTTAAAGAAAGGAATTCGACAGGAAGACAAACGTTAAAAAAACGTTAAAAAACATGAATATGATCTGCTACATCGGGAATTTAAATCCAGTACAAAGCTAAGGATATGTATTCAAACTGAATGGTCATATAAGTATATACGTAATAAGTATACCCTTAGCTTTAAAGCACCCTCAGATAATTGATAATATCTATCAAGCATCATTCATATTACAAGGTAATTCAGTTCAAATTCCACTACGAATTAAAAATTTTCTTTATCTTTGAGAACATTCTCATTGATTAAAAATCTAAAGCACTTTAAGATTTCGTTATGAAAGATCTTTTAAGAGCGAGAAATCATTTTACAGAATTTCAGAGAAATATTGCAATCTAGAAAGACATTTAATGTTAATGAAAATAAAAAATGCACTTCGAAAGATATGCATTTAAAACATTAATTGTTTATATATATTCACAATTTAATCATCCCATATCCATATTCTACAGCCAAAAGATAAATACATAAATAAGACCAGCGAATTTTCAATGAAAATTGACTGCACAACAAGTAAAATAAATGTCATTCAAAGGTAAGCGAACACATATAAAATTATATGCTTAGACTTTTAAGTAAACCGCTGAAACGAAACATACAATATAACGTTACAAAAAAAAAAAAAAAAAAAAAAAAAAAAAACTTTATAAAAATAAACAGAATAGTAATTCAAGGCATGTGGAATCACCAGACCGTGGAAATAGTAATTTGCTGGAAAGGATAAAACACATGAAACTTTTGCATCGCCAAATTATGAGCCAAATAAATTCATTTAAAAAAAAATACGACAAAAAATTATTGTATTTAAGTATTGTATTTAAATAAGCTAAATGTGTCAAAATAGCATTTAAAAATACAAAAATAGATGAATGGGCGAAAAACGCGAAACTGTATATTTCTGAACTTAAAAAAAAAAAAATAGGAATTTTAGATTAAAATATTTATAAACTGAAAACTCTGCAGTCGAAAACTCTTATCAAGAATTATTTAAGTCAAAAATTTTTTACGACAATCTTGTCAAAATCTGTGCGCTTATTAAAATACTTTTAATATTTTTACAGGTGGTTAAGCTAAATAAAATGTCTAGAAACAAAAGACCTTGACAAATGTTTCAGACACAGTTCTATAGCCAGTAATTTTAATTCTGTATCTTTTTTCGAAAACGGAACGTGTTCTTTTTACCACACCGACAATCATTCAAACTCGCCGCTCCGCGCTCCCCGCGCCAAATTGGCAGTCGGGAACCACTGACTGAACTCTCCCAAAACAAAGTTCGTTTTTTGCCGTATTTAAAGTAGTCCAAAATGCTTGACAACGTCAAATTTTAACGGTTTTTAAGCACTTACCGTTTCTTCGTAGATCTCTATCGGCGTTTTCAAACGATGCTCGCCGTTTAATCCATTGATATCTGAGTTTTTACCGTCCGCCATTTTGTGAACACGGATTGGCCCAGACGGGGAAATAGGGTCTTCGCTGACCGAAACGACGGGCATGTCTACAGCACCTGTTCGTCTGCCGAACACTGCATCCTATCTCCACGCGCGTAATCTGGGCGTTGTCCGGAGCTCGACCTTCCCCTCTGCCTCTTTGTATTCGACGCTGCTTGGCATTGCTGAGACCACTCATGATTAGCGCGCATTTTGAAAAGCTCCTATTCCGACCATGAAATAAAGCTTCTTTAGAAACGCTCATGACGAATGCGTCATCTGCGTTTGCTGGGTATCGGATTAAATAGCAGGGACTGGAATAAAAAAAAACACATATTATTGTTCAGGAGAGCTATTATTTCAGCTTAAGAAATAATAATAGAAATATATTTTTAAGTTCCGCTGTGTATCTAATATAAAGAAGGATTATGCAAATTGTTTCAGCATTTATACTAAATTTAAATCGCAGTAAGATTAATTAAATTGATTTTATACAGCAAAGTTCGTTTCATTTCTGACCCTCTCCAATGTGGTATATCATGTAGTAATCTCCTTGAGCACCAAACATATTAATAATTCAAAGCGAAATGGATTAGATTATAGCAAAGCATTTAAGAGCATGCTTTAAGAGAGTTTTTTTTTTAAGGAAAATTGCTCGTATTCGCGTTACGCATGGGAAAAGTAGAAAAAACTTTATCTACATGTCTAAAAATGTTTAATAATAGCAGGTATTTTATTATTTCTAACAGTTAATTTAATTTTAGCTCTTGGATTAAAAGTTCTGAACCTAACAGAATGCAAAATTTCTGAATTCTTTATAGTGAGATAATTTGGTATATCTGCACTGGTGAAATAAATTAAGAGAATTTGCATATTTTATCGAGCTGCATGAAAAGAACTGAACTGAAGGAAAAACCACTGCTTCTAGATAAAAATGCAAATCTTGTACAGCAAATGCGTAAGCGTACACGTGTGCGTAGGCGGAGCCAGCAGAAAAACAGTCTTTATAAGTGCGTGGAAGGTAAGACGAATTGCGTTCGCTAGCACACCTCGGCGAATTTCTTGGTGTTACAGGTATCTTGCAGCAATCGGTTAAATTCAGATCGGAACAGTAAAAATGAGTAATAGAATGAGGTGGCGAATTGTGGGGAGGCTAGAGGCAGGCCAATCAGAAGTCCAGATATGCAGAGAGTTTAATTTAACGCCCAGCGTCGTGTGTAGCCTATGGAAACAGTTACACAGGACGCTGGAAGTTAAATGATCCATCGAGAGAAAGCCGGGACAAGGTCTTCCAAGAACCACGACGGGCAGAGAAGATCGCTATTTGTCCATTTTAGCAAAACGGGCTGGCTGCATGGGTGTTTTCGTGTTTTTCCCCATGTGTAACGTGTATACGAGCCAGTTTCCCTTAAAAAGTCCTCCACGAAGGCATCCCTCCCTTAAGGCAGATAGCCCTCGAGTGCTTTGCCGTAATCTAATAAACCAAACCAAAACCATTTTAGCAAAGCGTAAACAGAGGGGCTACAGCTTCTCAGCTCTCTCGGGACCTGTATGCAGCCACAGTAACCCGTATAACAAGGGTGACTTTCCAAAAGACTGAATGAGAGAGGGTTGTTTTCCAGAAGACCGTCTGTTTGCGTCCCGCTCATGTCTACGGACAGGAGAGTCCGATTAGCATGGTGCAGGCAGCGTAGCGATTGGAGTACCGAGCAATGGGCGACCGTTCTGTTCACCGACGAGTTCCGTTTTAGCCTAAACACCGATTCTCGCCGTACTTTCATATGGAGAGAGCCAGGGACCTGCTACCTAACCTCCAATGTCCGCGAAATCAACAATTATGGCGGTGGCGGTGAAATGGTCTGGGCAGTCATCATGTTGGATGGCCGCACACCTTTCCACGTCTTTGACAGAGGCTCTGTGACTGGTGTGAGATATAGGGATGAGGTCTTGGAGCCCTGTGTTCGCCTTTCCCGCGTGCGGTGGGCCCCGAGCTCATCTTGCAGGACGATAACGCGAGGCCACATGGAGCTCTTCTGGTCGAGAATTTCTCGAGAGTGAGGATATTTGCCGGATGGATTGGTCAGCCAGGTCTCCAGACCTTAGCCATATAGAGCATGTCTGGGACGTTCTGGGAAGGGCAATTGCAACTCGCAACCCCCCCTCCGAAGAACCATCCGGGAACTGAAAACAACGTTGCTGAATGAGTGGGACCAAATTGCCACAGGCAACTGATAAACTGCCTTATTTCCAGTATGATTTCACGCTGCGAGAGCTGTATGGCTGTAAGAGGGGACCATACCCCCTATTAACCCATTTCTTTTGTGTCTTCTGCAACCGCTGTTTCAGACCTTCAGACTCCCGTGAGTGTTACACACGAACATTTGTGTCTATTATAACTGTTGAATGTTTATTTTGTTTGTATTATATGAACCTATGTTCACACGAAATTTATTAAAATCTGTTTAGTAGTTCTGGAGATCGTACATCAAATATAAAAATTCTCTTAATTTCTTTGCAGATAGTATTTCTAAAGAAGCTTTAAAATATTGTTTCAGAATTTTATAAGGGGCTGAAAAAAGAGGGGAAAGTTTTCTGATGTTAGGATATTGAAATTCTTCATGCATTACTAAAACAACAGGCTTAAAATTACTTTCTTTAAAATGGGTACCGTAACTTTGATTGCTTTCATTATGGTAACAAACAGACCTTTGCTCAGCAATTTTTCTAGCTTCTTCAATTGATCGATATAGATCTTGATTTTCGATTAATGGATCATATAGTAATTTTTTCATACATTAAATACCTGGTAGTTCGGTCCGAGGTTCGAATCCCGCGAACGGGCTGGCTGCATGGGCGTTTTCGTGGTTTTCCCCATGTGTAACGTGTATACGAGCCAGTTTCCCTTTCCAAGTCCTCCACGAAGGCTACCCTCCCCTTAGGCAGATAGCCCTCGTGTGCTTTGCCATAATTAAATACACACACACACATACATTAAATAAGATGGTGAGGATTTTGTTACAGAATGTGGTGTATTATTGTATTCATCAGTAACCTGAGGTAACAATTTTGTCCATGAAATGATACCTTTATAGAATTGAATTTATATTTGAATCTATTTATAATAATTGTATTACCTCCTTCTACTTTACCATTGGTATGTGGTCTGCTAACAGTAGTTAATAATTGTGTAATATTATGGTTCTTCAAAAAATGCTTAAATTTTGTAGAGGTAAAACCAGCGTTTATATAACTTAAAATTTTCTTTGCACCTAAATTTGAAAAATTTCTCTTAAACAATTTATGTAAGCATCAGTAGTTAGACTTTTAGAAGCAAATGTTCATATACTGTTGGTGGTTTAAATTATTATAATTCTTCTATTAAAAAGTATATTCATATTAATAATGTGAATATACTTTTTAATAGAATAATTATAATAATTTAAACCAACAACAGTATCAGTACATAACAACTCCAAAGGTTACCTTACAGATGACAGTGCTCGCATTAAACAAAATATCTTTTCTTAAATAAGTTTACTTTCTATTCCCGAAGAATTACCTGATGAACGAAACTATTTATTATTATTCCTATTTACTCTTTCCGCCCTAAGGCATTATACCGAACGGACGGATGCCTTCTTGGAGAACTTTCTAAGTGAAGCTGGCTCGTATTAACATGTTACATATGGGAAAAACTATGAAAACCCCATGCAGCCAGCCCGTTCACGGGATTCAAAACTCGGGCCGAACTACCAGTGTTCAGGGACTTTACCGCTCGGCCTCTAGAGGGCTGAACGAAGCTATTTGCATGGTGATATTGTACTGAATTCGGAAGAATCGAGTTGAGTTGAGAGAGTGTTGCTTAGTAAAATAGAAAAAAAAGTACAGTTATTGGCATAAATTAAGTTAATGCTAATAAAACGTAAAATTAAAAGGTGACTAGAACCAAGGTAATATTAAAATTAAAATTAAAGTGAAATGACGAATTAAAATTCATTTCCAAGAAAAAGACATTTTCAAAAAACCTGTGTAATGTAAATAAACTGTGATTGATAGCAACGTAAGAACGATACTAATTGAGAAGAGTTGATGTTGTTTAGTAAAAATGTATTATTTATTATAATACTAACTTAAGTTAGAATTTCAATTGTTTAAAACTGAATGTATTGTAAATAATTTAAATATTAGACTTTTAAAATAGAAAAATCAAATATTTAAATTAAAAAGAAAGAAAAATTAGGAAAAAACTTTGTGTACGATCTAATTTACGTTACTCTATTTATAATTCTGGAATAAAAAACAGTTAAATATTAATATGCATAACAAAATTAAATACAGAATGACAACTCGAAGCACTTTTTTTTTACTGTCTTTGTGAAAGAGATGGAAACCAGTCAGTAAAGAGTGTTCTCTTATACTTCGCATTATTATTACTTAATGTTTAAAATAGAAAACTTCCCTCAATATTTATAATGCTAATACACTAATGTAAAAAATAGACGTCTTTCTATTACCATTCTTCTTATTAAAAAGCGATTTTGACGTGTAATTGTCCTTTCAATAATTCTTTCTTTTCGTACAAAACAGTATTCATTACCCAGAATATGATTTTTCGGTCTCTGATTCTCTATGATCATGGATAAAATTAAATTCAGATATATTTAATCGGTAAAATATTTAATCGGCTCCCGTAAAAATATTACTTGAATCGCAAACTTGAGATTTTTGGAAGAGAGCTTTCACTCTTACAAATAACCCCATCACCACAAACAGCTGTGAAATAGAAACGTATGTTGTACCTAATCAACTGGATACTTAAGGAGTGTTTTGTCTCTCTAATTTCAGCCTTTAATTAATTTGAAGAAAGTTCTTAATTCGCCATCAACGAGAATTGCAGAAGCAGCTTTAAAAGGCTGCAATGCATTACCTGAGGTACGCCTCAACATAAGTAGGCTTCAATAACTACAATGAAAAAAAAAGCCCACAGAATTTAAACTTAACCTTCCGTAACTGAGATTTGCTTGAAATTTCGGAACTGGACTAAGCATCCTGACGGAAGCTTTAAGTATACGGAAGTGTACTTAACACTAATCGGAGTGTTAAGTATTAAGTATACGGAAGTGTACTTAACACTTTCCGTCAG